TGGCCAGGGGTGGTTGGCGGCTAAGTACCTAAGGTAGGGGATGGTCGCGACCCCTCTGCGCCTCAGAGTCAGCTTCTACAGAATTATCACTACCGTTGCCCATCTTGAATGGTGCCAACATCCCCAAAAAATCTCCACGCGCCCCAGTCTCAGTTGGGGAGGTCAAAAGAAGGTCGTTTCCAACATGTAAAAATAAAGTTGCCCCCTTCACCACTCCAGGAGAAAAAAGGCCACCCAAGCCCCAGCTCGGTTAACCCTGTCTCCGCAGCTGTTGCAACTTGCACAACAGCCCCTCCTCGCGTAGGACCTGAGCCGGCATCCGGGACAACTCACCAAGATGAGTTGCCCAACTGGTGAAGCTGGTGATCTTGGCGGTCGTGGGGTCGGCTGAAACAATCTGCCCGGAGCCGACTTGCGGACGGGACTCAACGGACAATCACCACTGCGCCCAGTCGCGGCTCCCGGCAGCGGACTCACGGATGCTTTTTTCTGGTCGGTGGATTTGTGCAAAATTTCGCTGGTATTGGTAATGGTTTGCTATGCTCTCAGATCCAATCTGACAAACAATGACTGATGGTCCAACGCCAATGAATCCTGACTCGCAGCCGATTACCCAAGATCCAATCCCCCATAGAAACAGAACCGCAATTGCTTTCGTGATAGACGTGACGTGACGTGACGGCCATAAACATTTTACACACACCATAGATAACAACAGAACGCATGGACCACGCGACGTGTCCCATCAGATGAACTCTCCTCACTCTTCGTCGCTCGAGCTCGAGGATGCCGACGCATTTCCTTCGCCGCCTGCCTTTTTGTCCTTCTTGCTCTTCTTTCCCTTCTTCTTCTTCTTCGTCTTGCTTTCGCTCTGCTCTGGCTCGGCAACATCGATCAGGGTCGACGCCTGGCTGGGCTCAACCTCTCCACCGGAAGACAAGGCCTTCGTCATGTCAACCAGCAACTTCTTCAGTTCCTCGACCTCGCCGCGCAGCTTCTGCACCTCGGTGATGGTCGGATCAGCCTCGAGGTTCGTCTTGGCGCTGATGCACAGCTTGTTCCAGCCGTCGGCCTCAAAGTCGACCTGGTCCATCATCTGCTCCCACTCCTCGATCGTGTCGTCGTCCTCCTCGCCGCGGGCCCGGTTGCTGCGGATCTCGCCCGCCGTCTTCGTCTCGTGCCACGCGGCGATGACCAGCACGGGAGAGTAGATGATGCCCATGATGATGTCGCTCATGCGCTCGAACTTGGACTTCTCCATCCACCAGAAGAGGCAGATGACCAGCATCTCGAGCAAGTTGAAGGGCGGGATGTAAACGTTCTCGTCGGGAGCGCGGACGAACTGCATCGTCTTCTGGGCGAAGAGCGCGAGGTACTCGTCGTTGGCGTTGCCGTAGATGTCCTCATACGCCGAGTTGTACAGGGCGATGAGGATGTTGAGCAAGACGACCTGGGACGGGTTAGCATGCGGGCAGAAAAACACCCGGAAATGCACTCACCATGATGATAAAGGTAAAGCAGTAGTACAGAATGATTCCGAACGGCGGAGAGAACTTGTCGAATCCGTCAAAGTCAGGGCTCTGCATCACAGCATTCGCCATGGCCTGCAGGATGAAGAGGATATCGTCCGCGACCCAATCGTCAGCAAAGTCCAAGCCGATGAAGGCCTGGAGGAAACCGATAACCAACACGATCAGCAGGGCAAAGAAGATGATTGACTCCTTCATCATGACCTTGAGCACCACGAGCATGGCGCCGAAGAAGCGGAAGCTGTCGAGGTACAGCAGCAGCCGCGACCAGATCATGGGTGCACTAAACGCCAAGAAGTTGTAGCTCATCTTGCTGTAGAACTCGCGCGTATCATCGCCCTGTTGATGGGTGAGGCCGATGATGCGGAGAATGAAGGACAGGGTGATGAAGCTGTAGAGGACGCTGTTGAAGGCGTTCCAGAAGCCCAGGATGTGGTAGCCCGCCTTCCAGAACTTGGTAACCTCTTCGCAGATGAAGCCGAGGGTGAAGATGTACAGCAGAACCTCGGCCGTGTCAAAGACACCAGTCGGGTTGACGGAGTTGATGACGGCGGTGTAGAGACCGATGTACACGAAGGAGATGATGACCTGTGTGGCGTTCTGGTACATGGGCGCGCGAATGCGGTCGGGATCCATGTGGACGAAGAAGCTCGTGTTGTCCTTGTCCTTGTAGTCGATGAAGACGGCGGGATCGTCTTCGTCCTGGACAAGCCAGCCTTTCCAGAGGTAAGAGATGCACTTTTGGTATCCCGAAGATCCAATTACCCTCACGGCATGAAGGTCGACGGCCTTCTCGACGACGTTGGCGGGCGGGGTGGCTTCGCCGTCGACGATGATAGAGTATCGGCGGAGCAGGACGGAATGCATGAGGTACTCGAAGTCGTCTTCGGTTTCGATGCTGCCATCGCGTGATTAGTATACTGCCGTCGATCGTAATAGATGGTGGACTTACATCTGCTTGGCCACCACTTCGCAGGCAACGGCTCGGACCCTGTGCATGTCGGCGTCCCAGAGCTCGACGAGAGCCTGGTGCTTGAACCATCTCTTGCAAACCACCAGGCAAAACACGACGCAAGAGCGGTAGTGGGAGCCGCCAGCCTCCTTTGCAGCCTTGATGACCTTGGTGGTGATGATCTTGCTGTGTGCCTTTGTGATCTCCTCCTCGTCGAGTTCGCACGGAACGGCAAGCTCAATCAGATGGCGCAGCTTGAGGGCGACCTTTGTTACTTCCGCGGCGGGAATCGCGGACTGGATGTTCTCGTTTCGGTACTGCGGGAGGACTAGTTCACGGCAGAGAACCTCTTGTTAGCATTTCATATCTTCCGAAGGGAATTGAGGTGGCATGAGGGCTGTCATCGGAGGTGGGAGAGCATGGGACGACAGAGAAGGGATGAACACGTACGGCGTCTGCGGTCGTCGCGAATCCAGTCGGCGTGGAAATCGTGATGGTGTCTGGGATGCTTGTCCCAGCCCATCAGGCGGGAAAACCAGCTGGACCGAGCCATGTCGAATGCTCTGGGCGGTTATCTCTTCGGGTGTCGTCGTTCGATCGTATCGTCCGCAATTGCCGTCGTCGAGTCTGTCGGGGCCGATGATCGCGAGAAGCCACAATGGGATGCTCAATTGACGGCGTCAGACGTCGAAACACCAAGATCAGACCTGGGGAGAAAAGTCTGGACGAAGAGAGCAGAGCACCGGGAGAAATTGGCGTCGTGCGCGTCGTGGTGGCTGTCGCATCGTTTTTCCTTGTTTTGCCGCGGGCGCTCAGGAGGCCGGAGCTTAAGCTGCTTGCTGCGCTGAAGGTGACGTCGACCGACAGCGGGGGCATTGAAGCGCACGACCGGGGATACGTAGCTCTCTATCAGGATGACACCTGTTTTTGCTGGGAACGATGATAATCAGAGACAAGCACCCGCCCTTGGCGCTAACATTCTTTCGGGAGCACCCCACAACGCCTCGGCCAAAAACTTGGCTGCCACGCTTCTGGCGCCGTTCCTCACACCATCACGTCCAAGACAGACGTCGCCGGCGAGATGCTGTTGGTTGGGCAGGTTACACACAAACTCAGAGTTCCAGCCATTGACTCCATTCCACGTTCTTGGCACTTTCGGGTTGAATCTCGTGGTTGGTTTGTCCTGCAAGCTCACCACCAAACACTCCTAAACTCATGATTGCCTCCCGTCTCTCGATGATCCTGGATGTCTCTGTTGTATCCAAAGATGTCTATTATTCCCGGCCGTTGATCGAAACACGCTGCCCCCTATCTATCTTTAGCGCCCAATAACCAACCCACTCTATCCCACACACCCATCCCCTCTCACTTCCTCAACGTCTCCTTGTAAACACTCAACGTCATGTTTGCAACATGCTGTATCGTCTCCGGCGCAGTCGGCAGGTGATGGCCCCCCGGAAACCTCAAAATCCTCCGCGTGCTCTTCTCCGAGCACTGCTCATACAGCTGCTCGCTCGCCGGCTCGTACGGGTCCTCGAGCCCGACCACGTGCACCGTCGGCGCCGTGATCTTCTCCTCGTGCGGCACGAACGGCGGGAACGTGCCGCAGATGAACAGCGCAAACGGCTTCGCCTCCGGCCCCAAGAAATCGTCGGCCCCGCGCTGGTGCTCGAGCAGCAGGCTCGAGATGGCGCGGCAGCCCTGCGAGAACCCGACGAACCCCGCAAACGGGCCGTTCTCCTTGATGTACGTCTTGAGGAACGACACGGCGGCGTCTTTCTGCGCCTGGAACTCGTCCGCGGGCGTCGCGGGGTCGTCGCTGACCCAGCGCCGGTAGGGCCCGCACCCCTCGAACACGGGCAGCACGCCGGGCCCGGGCGCCGAGTCCATGGGCGCGTCGATGTACACGAAGTCGAAGCGGGCGTCGAGGATGCGCTGCAGCCTGATGAGCTGGATCTGGAAGATCTGGGCGGAGGTGCCCCCGCCGTGGAGGCACAGGAGACTCGGCTTTTGAGACATTTCCGGGCGATTTGTGATCGGCGAGGATCCTCAAGTTGCAATCAATCTGGGTCGTTCTTGGTGATGAAGCGAGTGAGTGACACGTGAATTTGGCGTCGAGGGAGTGACAGATGGATGTGTGAGGTGAGATCTGATCGTGAAGGTTTGCGATACGTGTGCAACTCAATATCGGAGTGAGATTTGAAAAAGTGGGGGCCTTCGGTATGCCTCACCGTCGTTAAACCTCCGATGCCTGCCCCCGTTACATAAGCCACGTCAGCGATGGGATGAGACTGACTCGTTGCAGTCAACGACACGTGAGAACAATGTGGAAGGTGAGTGGTTGCGAAGCGGTGAAGAAGGTATTGACGATGAGGAGCATTCCCGATTTTCAAGGAGCGGGGCATTCACTTGTGAAACAAAGACTCACGATTCAATTCATATCCATCAACTAGAATGATGTAAGGTGAGAGGAAGCAGGATAGTTTCGATATCTGATATCAAATCGTCACTCTAGATGACTATTGCGCGACATGGTGCAGACTCATCTCATCCCCTGTCCGGGTCCGAGGAAACTTCACACAAATATTCCGCGCATCACTCTCCATCTCCTTCACCGTCATCAACCGCCCCTCAGAAGGAACAAGTTCCCCAGACCCTGCAAACTGGCTCCTATAGAAGATCAAAGGCAAGATACTGCCTTTCCAAACAGCTTCCTCATCTCTCAACCGCCAACTCCTTGCAATCATCACGCCCAGCAACACCGCCTCCAGCGCAAGCAGCACAGCCGGAAAGGCGAGCCACCCCTTGTCAATGACCACAAACACAACATACTGAAGTGCCTGGCCTTCAGCCTCAGATATCGAGCCTTCCTGCCTCCCCAGACCGCGCCGGAACTGGTTCGTCACCGCAGTGGCAATATCCGCGAAATGCCCAGAAACAAGGTCAACCGTCGCGTTGCCCCGATACCATAGCTCAGAGAGCCAGAAGTTGTTCTTGCACCAGAGGTTCCCGTCCTGGAAGGCGCTAAAGGTGCAGGTCTCGTTAAACGCCTGGTTCAGAAATGACGACAGTCCGTCGGCAAAGGTTGGGGCGACGCTGTATATGCACTCCGCGGCGTCGGGCGCCCAGAACGTGGTGATGTTGAGGCTGCCGGCCTCGGCTTCGGCCGTGTAGTTTCGTCCGTTGATTACGCAGGGCGTGCGGGGGGCGAGGTAGCTGCCGTTCTTGACCCATTGGTGCTCGACGCCGTCGTACATCGGGTCGTGGTACATGGGAACCTCAGAAACGAGCTTCTCCCTGAGCTGGGTTTTCTGGACCACCCCCGAGTAACTCCGCAGGCAGAGGTACAGAGAGCAGGAGAGTGCCATGCGAGTATGGACGAACGGGGCGCCGTACCTATCGCCGATAGGGCTCTGTGTTGTGAGGACGGTGATGTTAGATAGAGCTTGCTCCGCCAGAGATACAGCTCGCTCAGGCATGACGCTGTTAGCCCAAGATAAATCTCCCGAGCCAAACGCCATACTCATTGTCGTTCGGCCCGTGGAGAAGTTCATCCCGTTCGGCAACGCTATCGAGCTGTTGTCCTCGGCGACGCTGACGAGGGCTGTGACGTCCGTACAGATGGAACAAAGACCAGTAGACGCATGTGTAATCTCACCGAGCTCGACCACCGGTGCACCGGACTCGAGCCCCATGAAAGTACAATTCCCAGTCGGACAGATAGGCGCAACAGAAGAATCCACACCGCGGGGACTCTGTATAGCCGTCTGCAGCGCAATCCTCATCTCAGGCCTCATAATCCTCTCAGTCGCCTTCTTGCCATCCTCCTCATCGCGGTAAATCGCCTCAAAGAAGTATGAATCAAGATCAACACTCCGCGCCGTCGGAATACTCGCCACCTCCCCAGGATCAATCACAGTCCTCTCAACCGTCCCGATAGCCTGCTGCACACACGGTCCAACTGCAAACGACGCCACAACCACAGAGACAGCCATCGCCGTTGTCGGGCTCCTCCACCTCACGATCCCGCCCAGCCTCAGCGCGCCAAGCAGGTCCCGACTCCCGCTGTCGAAGTGCTGCAGATCAATCATCCGCCGCTCGTCAGACCAGAACCACGTCCATCGCGCCTGGCAGATCACCTCCGCGGCGACGGCGGCGACGCACGCGCGGAAGAGCGTCGAGAGGACGTTGGCGAGGGCGTTGAGGGTGATGGGCAGCGTCCAGTCGCGCTGGGGCTTGCCGTCCTGCGAGAGGGTGGTGGCGAGGATGGCGGCGAGGAGGGAGCCGGCTGTGAGGAGGAGGGCGATGTCTGGGGCCCATGGCCTGAAGACTGGCTGTGTGGTTTGGTTTGGGTTGTGTGGAGGTTTGGGCTCGTTGCGGATCGAGAAGTCTTGGAATAAGGTCGAGACTCGCGGGGTTTTGCTTTTGAGGTCGTCGTCGTTAGTGACGCAGACGGGATGGGCTTTCTTGGATGTGAGGTCTTGTTCGCTTTCGGTTTGCGCTTCACCGGCGCTCATCGAGAAGTTCCTGACGAGTGGCTCTTCGAGACTTTGGCTTGCGGTATGGCGAGGTGGACGTGATTCCTGGTCCAGCGACAGGGGACTTGAGTGGGCTCCAATGCCAGACTTTCGACGATATTTGTCAAACATCTCGTGGCGTTCTTATTGGAGCTACATCGAGACCAAGTCTTGCACAGCTTCAGTTTTCTGAGGAGCTCGTTATTTTAGACTGGAAATGGGTTCTTTAATGTGACGGCAATCGGGAGAGCAAACTTGCTGTGCCGCAACTCCTGACTGAATCCTATTTTCAACCAGCAATCCTTCTGCCTGCAAGCCAACACCTTGTCGACAAGGGTGGCCGAACCCAGTCGCCCATTCGTAGTGCTTATTCTGGGCTCTTGGCATGACAAGCATCGGCCGCCAGGAACTTGGACTTGAGATTGGCTTGGCTCTTCTTCGCTTGGGAGGTGATCATTCATGAAAATACTACAGCGACATATTGTTCCGTCACTATGGCTCTTCACTCTCACTCGCATTGAGGTCGAGCTGTTTACGCGAGGTAGATTCATTTCAGGGCGTTTTTGAATGGCTCTTGCTCACCCATTCAATCGAAGTTTGCTGATTGATACATACCAAGGGTTGAATGGCCATGTTAGTGTTTGGCAAATGATGATGTTGTGATACGCTGGGCACCACAAATAAGCCTCAAAACTTATGCTGGGTTACTTTCATTGAATTCAGCCTTTGCTTGCCGCCAGCCAAGTCCTTAACAAAATGAAAGCCCTCTCCACCACTAGGCTTGCCGTACATAATCCAGGCGAAGCGTGAACTCAATGGCGGTCCGGGATGCTGGATATCATCCTCGCGTTATCGCTTCTTTTCGCTTCTTGAAGTTCTGGATTCAGGCGGAATTCGTTTTTGCCCAAGTATTGGCTACAGGGGCTCCTCCATCTTCAAAATCATTCGAAAATCATTCCCTTCAACCCAAATATCACTTACGCCGCAACATTAGACGTAATTTGAGGACACTCAAGGAAACCGTCACAATCCGAAAATTCACATGCCATAGATCGCCGTTCAAATCATTCGCGGGAGGCATTCCAGTTGAAGCTATTCAGAAGCCTGCCGACATCGGCCATTGCCCCCACATCAGGCCCAGAAGTTCCCCGCCGACGCTGCGACAGTGTTCGGCACTGTGGACTGGTAGTGGACTACGGAGGTAAGATCTTGCATATTGCCCCCCCTGAATAGCTTATTTTCTACCTTATTTTCATCCCCGTCGATCGGTTGGCATCCACATCATGCAGCAGCATGCAGTAGCATCACATATGATTCGGATACAAGGAAGACTGATCGCTAGACACATACACTCCGTTGCGTTGACAGCGTCCGCCCCCCTTTTTTTTCCCCGCTTATGCAAAAACATGAAAAAAAGCCAATTTTACGCTGTGACGCGCATTTCTCTGCATCGCACGCAAAACGCGTCAAAGTCATCACCAACACCTCAATTGCCGTCAATCACTATAGTCCCAGTAGTATTCAAACGTATAACTACACGATAGAGACATAAGGTGTGTATTTCATGCTTCCGTAGCAGTCAATCTACCCATCGAGGCATTGCCAACCCAGCTAGTCACCTCATCCCCATACCATTCGACCAACAAAAGGTCTATTTTCGTCATGAGAGATCAAGATGACATTTGCTGAGGAACAGAAGAAGAGACCTGCTGTATGACTTTATATATCTACTCAGCATACGGTTTGTATGGCTCTGAGTAATATATAAGCATACCAAGGGGCTTGATACGGTTCTTCAGAGCAAATGCTTTGGCAGTCAACAGGATTAATGACTCTCCTGATAGCTCAGCTTGTTCACGATATTGAGCAAGAGTCTACTGCTGTATAGATTGTGCCCTGTTACTTACAGTTTGCCGCTGGTCAGTACATGTCCGTGGTTTATTATATCAGATACATCGAGAAAGACGCCGGGCGACGACGACGATACAATGGCGCCCAGAATATCGAATCTACAGCTATCGACGATCGCGATGATACTGCCATTCGAAGACCAAAAGACCCACGAGCTGGCAAGTATCGTTGGCTGTACCGAACGAACGATTCGACGACATAGATCACGACGTAATATCACTGGCGAAGTGCAGAGATATAAGAGGTGCCGCCAGAGTCGACAAAAGATGGAAATATGGCATCGTACAGAGCTTCTTGAACTACTGCAGTACCGCAGCGATCTATCTCTTGAAGAGATGCAAGATTTCCTATTTGAAGCCTTCGAGATCCAGATCAGTCGTTCTGCAATCAGTCGACAGTTAAACTCAGCTGGCTGGACGAACAAGAAGTCCAAGATTATTGCTGCTCAGCGAAGTGACGAACTACGATACGAGTACTTGTACCGTATACGACGATATCGCCCCGACCAGCTGGTATTCGTCGACGAATCCGGCGTCAATAAGGATACTGGGATACGGAGGACTGGATGGGCGCCGAAAGGGCTTGCTGCGTTTCGAACTGCAGAGATTGATCGGTTTCAGAACTCTCGCGTACAGATCCTGCCAGCCCTCACGTTGAGCGGTATCCTACACTTGACTACGTATTATGGTACGACTGACGGCGATGGGTTCTTTCGTTGGCTACAGGAGTGCCTTATCCCGAAATGTGGGCGTTTTCCAGAGCCAAACTCTGTCATCGTTATGGATAACCTCTCCTGCCATCGTATACCTGAAATCGAGGGTTTATGCCGGGTATCAGGTGTCCATCTCGAGTTTCTGCCTCCGTATTCACCAGACTTCAACCCCATCGAAGAGTACTTCGGCGATCTAAAGCGATACATCAGGAAGACGTATTCGAAGTGGAACAACGATGAGAATGACACTCGGGATTTCATGGAATATCTACGTGACTGCGCTATGGAGATTGGGTATCGTCTACCCCAGATCGAGGGCCATTTCCGCCATTCGTTCGTCAACTTTGATGGGACAGAGCATATATTTGACGATATCGAACTATAAAAGGGAGGATTTGCTGCCAATATTGAACATCAGCAAGCAATCCAAATTTTCATCGTGCGTTCGCGCGCAATAGATCTTAATCGTGTCGTCATATGATGGTCAATCATCAAATCCATGATTGTAGCCAACAAGATTGCCAAAAGGTTAGCCACAAGCGCACCAGAACACAAAAAATATACCGTCGTCCATTGTTTTCGTCGGTAGCTACGTATACATATCAATTTTGCCTGTATAACGGCTGAAACGCGTTGTTGATGCTTGTGACGATGATTTGTGATGATGACACGTCATCACGATCAGAGACTTCAACCATAGTCAGAGACTTCAACTGCCCCTAACCAGTATCGGGATGGACCGAAGTGTATTGTTTGCAGATCCAAAATAACAGTAATTCTATTGCTTTTATACGTATAGAGCGGCAGTGTTGAATCTACGGCTATGGGTAGACTTTTCCGTGGTTGAACACGTCATGCAAAAAAATCGCGCATACAGTCAAACTTCACACCACTCTTGCTGTATCACTCTTCTTCGTTATCCTCCTCCGAGTAATACGTCTCTGTTGACGACGTATCACTCGAGATTTCAATCTGATTGTCCTCATCGCCTTGCTCGATTTCGTCTTGTTCGATCTGTAACTGCGTGGGCAGCATCTGCGACGCTGACAGCAGTGGTGACGAAACGAAACCAAAGAGTTCCGAAACGCCTACAAAGTTAGCCATATTCGACAGTAAACAGCTCTATATACACTCACCACGTCGACCAACTTCAACTGGCGTACCACGGATCTCTTGCTCGATGGATTGACGTGGCACTAGGGCGTCGATATGTCGGGATGACCCCAACTCGCCTGAAACTAGCGCCGCAGAGTTTTCAACTGGCGCCGCCGCCGTCCCTCCTGGCAATCCAGCGTATATTCTTGTATAAACATCTCCTTCTGACTCTCGATGGTTTGAATGAAGTTCAGAGTGAGATACCACGTCGGAGAGGGCGTCAGACTGCCCTCCGTAGTAGGCGCTGTTGTCTATGAAGGATTTGATCGAGTTCCTGACATCTTCGGTAAGATCTTGAGTAAAACCCTGTTCAGTAAACCAAATATCTGGTAACTTGCGAATTGCCCGCAAGCTACTGTCTACTGATCGCAGTTTCTGTAGCTTCTTTCTGAACCCTTCGTCGACGTTATATCGCTTGCCGCGGACGGATATAAACCACTTGATGAAGCTGGCCACTTGATCTAGAGCTTTTCGAGGCGAATCCGGTACCACTGGCGAGGACGAACGAATCGGGAGTGCGATACTTGGTTGACGAGTGCTTGGAAGGTTCAATGGCGGAAGAGTTGGCAACGAATACTGTGAGATGTTCGCATATGGCCAATATGCCGGCGGCGGCGGCGCCGGCGGCGGCAGCTGTACGTATGGGTTAGGATATTGAAGATGACGATCTGGCGCCCCCGCGTTGCCGTATATATTGACGATGGCGTTGCTGTTGGCGTTGGTTAGGCCAGATCTTGACCCTGATGATGGAAGTGCGGCATTTTCAGCCTTCTCTTCCGTCATCACTGTCGTCTCCTGGTTATCATCAACCTCCACGATATTCTTACTTCTCTTGCCCTGGCGTTTCTGATCCTCTATAAACTGGTCGTGAAGAATCTCACCAAGCAGTTCTTTAGGTGGTTCCATATTGTCAACGCCAGCCTGTCCAGTCATAATAGCCTTCGCCCACTTCTCTATATGGTGAGATTTGATCTTGTAGTGCTTCTGGCCTAGTATATAGCACCAGTTGAACTTCTCGTCGCCCGAACTATTCTTACATCTCTGGTACTCTGGGCAGATGTGCGTACGGAGAAGTTGTCTGTGCATACCCTCCTTCCGACGCTCGACGTTTGCAGGATCGTTAGCCTCACGATCGATCGCCTCTTGCATGCCGGCTGAAACGCCTGCTCGGCCACCTTTTCGAGGCGTTCGTACGCCAGTCACTATACCACCAGAGATTGGTACGGCGCTGTATTGCCACTTGACGGTGAGGTGGACTTCACCCCTCTCTTCAGCTTGTTCAAGAGAGGGGACAATATCAACCCATGGAATACTTGGCCAAGTGACCCCTCCAGTAGACGGATAGACCCGAGTGAAGATTGGTGTTGGTTTAGATGCGTTGGTGGGCTTCCTCCAAGCAACGACAACAGCGATATTGGCCTTCTTCACAATATACGAGTGAGCCACTTCTGCCTCAAGTTGGGCGCCGCTGTCTGCCTCCCAGTCTCTACTATTCGCATCTAATACAGGAGCAATACTGAATCTGTTATACGCGATGCTCTCGATGGTTAGATCGAGAACAGGTAAACCGTTACCCTTGAGCGCTGGGCCACGGGTAACCTGGATTTGTAGCAGAGTTGGTTCCTCGTTACCCATATCGTCCTCCTCTTCAAATACATCGTGGAACGACATAAACGTATCATCAGCGCTATGGCGAGGGGCCGTAGGCGTATCGTCCGCAAATCGAGTGGTTTGACGAGGGGTTGGGTTAACTGGGGTCGAGTCTGGTCGAAACGGTGGCATCGACGAAGGCAGAGTACTTCGGAGCCGGATCGTATGCGGCGGATCCTTCTTTCGCTTCCTCTGCGTTGTCGTTGCTTTTTGGCGAGAGGACGCTTTTGGAGCTCTTCGTGATGACGGAGGGGCTATAAGTACACGCTTTCTTCGCGATGTAGACTCAGCCGCCACCAAATCATTAGTCTCGGGTCCAGCCTCGGCGACGATAACCTCCTCGGCGGCCTCCTCGGCGGCCTCTTCGGCGGCGGCAGCCCGGCGAGCCCTCTCGGCGGGCGTAACGATCCTGATCGACGGCGAGGCAGAGCGTTGAGGAGGATCTCTGGCGGCGTCCTGTGCCAGTTGTTGTATACGTCGTTGTTTCCGCGTACCGTTGGCGATGGGTGACGGACGATGCCCAGAAGGGTCATCATCCGCCTGCCGAGCCGCGCGGCGGCGTTTAGGAGGCATCACGATGCCCTCAGATAATGAGATTCAATAGAAATAGATCAATTGAAGCCATCAGAATAGGTCAATTGCCGTACTACGAATATCTACGTGGCGTTGGGCAAATTTTCATGTATATACAGGGATTATGCGTGCGTAATTTCGGCAAAAAGGGGGGGCGGACGCTGTCAACGCAACGGAGTGTATCGCTTTTTATGCAGCAAGACAGGAATTTCGGTGACATCATGCCTACATGCAGTCACATCCAACACAAACCGAGATCAACAATGTCCAGGCAGAATGACCAGCTGCTGGCAAATTAAACACTACAACTAGGAATACTTTCTACATCTATTACAAAACAGAAAGAAGAAAAATACAGCCCGCAATATTTCAGGGCCGTCCAGCAGCCCAAAGAATAGGAGAGACCGGTGTGTTGGAGGGCATTTAGTCAGCATCCGCGCGCGACAACACCCAGGCGTCGATGGTAACGAAACCCTGGTCCCTCTCGACATTGGTGACTCCGACAATCATCAGTTGATTGACCCAGTAGTACGCATCTACACCGGTCTCAAGCGTCAGGTACAAGATGCCTTTGCCGTTCGGCGCAGGTCCCTCAGCGCGAACGAAGATGTTGGCGCCGTCGTTCGTTTGAAACTGAAACAGCGTGATTGCCTCAAACTGGCCACGGACGTCTAGAAGGCCCCAGTCGGCACCGACAGGAAGTACAACACCTGTTGATGACCTTGTTAGCCGATTCTGATCGGAAAAGGTGGTGAAATACTTACCAGTGAGCTTCGGCCCTTCAAAGCTTCCTCCCGTAATAGGATCAGAGAATCTGTTGCCTCGTGGGCCGACACCAAAGTTGACTGACTGGCCAAGGGTCATCTTCAGCTGGAAGAGGAGCTCAGCATTTGGAACCAGTGGGCCGGCATCTTTGTGGGTGGGAACCGCATTGGCGACGGCCGCAAACGAGGACAACAAGCCGGCCGTGGCGAGGTTGAAGATATTGGAGGGCAGCATTATGATTAGTGTGATTAATATGATCTGGCTGGATTGAATGAAGACGCTGTCTAAGTATGTGAATGAATTATAGTACCAAATGGTCAGAGCTTTGAAGGATTGAAGCTGGCTTCATGGTCCTTTATGTGTGCAGTCCACCCGAGTCTTTAGATTTCGGATGGCATGGGTTCCGCGATGGTGTCGCTGCGTGCCTTTTCTTGGCAGACCCAAAATCGCGGTAGCAAACTCTTTCCCTGCCGTTGGAATTTCACCCATAGGCTGGGTTGAAAAGGTTTTTAATCGCCGTCGGCGGTAAGGCAAAACTTAGCAGTCGGCAAGCCACTGCGCAGGGAATGTGCTTCTTGTAGGTGCTGCCTCGACCAAGTCAACCGGCGGGCCGCACGTTAAACGTCAAAAGCACAAATGATGGGATGAACGGTGCCAGTACCGCATAGAGAACTTCTAGAAGCGCCAAGCCGGCTCCCGCTCAAGGCTTATTTAGACTTCCGGCCAGAATGCAGGCACGCCATTGGTCGTCTGCGTGGTTGAGGTCATGGATGACGGCGCTTAGAGCCACATGCTGTAGGTTTGACTTGCAGCCGTGGGTTCGGGCCGGGGAGGGGCTGGCCGACACGTGCGCGGGTGGGCAGTGAGGATGTTGCGAGCCTGGTGACGAGCATTGGCCGTTGGCTCGGGCATCATGGCGCCCAGTTGAATTTTATTCCCCTCTTTGCATGTAAATGATCAAATGTTCTCAGAAATTTCACTTTGAGCATCAATGACATCAGCTGGGTGAACAAGCTTTGGAAACCACCATGGTCGGAAAACAGAAACGAGTGCTATGCAATGTTCTGAATATTGTGTCGGATTGAAATCTCAAGTACGACACTTGTCCTGGTGAGACACCGGCTTTATTCCTTCAATCCCCGCAGCGCTTCCCACTCATGCTCCAATATACTGTAACGAATCACATCATGCCACTCGCGGTCGAACCAAAATGCCTCTCGATCCCGTCCCTCCTCGACAAACCCCAGCTTCAAGTACAGACTCTGCGCCCGCTCATTGAAAGACGAAGTCGCGATACGAACACTGTGAAATGCGCCAAATCGGAATGCCCAGTCCAAAGCCCAGTTGATCGCCTCCCTGCCGTAGCCCTGATGTGCCACTCTGCAGCAAGACTAATCCCAATCGTTGTTGACCGGTGATGGGCCTGGTCCCATTGAGGAGCGCCTTCCCAACCAACAATCAAGACCCCAATGGGGATCGGCTGATCTCCATCTTTCTTGCGGCTGTCATCTTTCCCGTCAGTGGTATTCTCGTCTTCAGCTACGGGTTCCGGAGCGGGGAGGTAGAGCGTAACACTGAGGACGGCCTTGGTCAGGCTCTCCGCAACCCCTTCAGCGTGTTTCTGGGGCTGGGGTCTGAGCATGCATGGCTGCGCGAGCGCGGAAAGGACTGGGTCAGCCTCGATATGTTCGTAGATGAACCTTATCTGTGGCTCGCTGCTGTCGAAGGCGCGAATGAGCAAGCGCTCGGTTCTGAAGGCGTTGGAAAGGCCGTCGGTGATCATTATTATTTGGCTCTTGTTGCGCTTCTGATCGATGTTTGGAGTGTGTGAACGTAGAGTGCTAAGATGGTTGTCGGACGGACAGATCATGGACGAGCATGGCGAGCAATAACTTATTATGCTGCAAGCAGCCCAAGACAATTTAGAAAGTTCTGTCTTCGATGGGAAAGTCGTATATGCCGACTGCTGCCTTAGCGCTTACACTGCTGTTGCCGTGATATCCTGAGTTACAACGTTGATGTTTATAGGCTGCATGGGTGGACAGAAGTTCCAAATACAGCAATCAACGGTTTGAGCTGCATGCTTTTCGCGGCCATGGATCAGTGAGGTGCATCTTACGATGCAGCTAATTCACAGCAATTATAAGGTTCCTATTCGGTAGAAATAAATGCAATCATCCTGGAAAGTCCGATGCACCAAAGACCTCTAGCCCATTTCATCCATTTCATAAACGTCGAAACCTTAGACTAAACCGTGTTTCGAAACTCTTAAATGACCGGCGTTGACAGGGGCCCAAATGCAAATGCATACCTATGAGATTGAAAGAGCGATGATAGACCATGACTCTGCAGTCAACCCTGACGGGGATGGCAGTTCGAGGGAAGAATGTTGGTTAGCACTGCTCGACCAATACCCAAGAACGTTTGTGAAAGTAGGCAAGTAGAGCAGAGATTGCCGCTGATTTGTAACTTCAGCTTTGTAATCCGTGTACATACGTCATATTGAATACTTGATTTGTAATAGACTGGACGTACAATAACGGAGCCCTGCGTATCCCACCGGCTGCTCAAGTCCACGAAGAGGGTAGAAACGGGTATGAAATAGACGAGATGGAGTAGTGTGACGCAATCAGTGGGATACTCTACCAACGAAGTTTACCATATGAGATACCGTGGATGCTGGAGCCGGCATCCCGAGAGAAACTACCGGAGCGAGAAGGCTCCTGCTGCTGCTGTTGGCACAAGGTACTCCCCATTCTTACTGGTGCCCTCCTGCCTGCCCTCACTTCCCTCTGCGGCTCCTGCCCTTCTCGCGTTTCGTTGACCAATCGCCGAAGAACATTAGAGAGCATAGACGTGCACCCGCGGACAGATCCGTGCCTCCGGAAACGGACCTTACACAACTTAGTCCATTCGCGCCTTCCCTCCAGCAGCTCGCTCTGGACAAAACTTCAACTACCTCAGCGTCCATCTACTTTCTTCCAGCATCCAACGACACAAACCTTTCAGTTCTCAGTAGATCACCCAGATCCGACTCATACCGTCTTCGCCATGTCTCAGCCGACCCCGCCATCTATAGCAAAGTCTGTTCCCGATGAAGCTCACGGGCCACGTACCGTGGGGGGCGAGGCGGCGATCTCACCCGGCGACCCAACAATCGGATACAAGTTCAACCACATGATGCTTCGCATCAGAGATCCCGCGCGTTCGTTGCACTTCTACATCGACTTGATGGGTATGCGAACCGTGTTCACCATGAACACCGGCCCATTCACTATTTACTACCTCGGGTACCCGCAAACAACCGAGCACCGCGCCGACCTTGCAAAGTTCCGCGAGGACACGGTATCCAAGCTCCCACACACACTGGGGCTCTTCGAGTTGTACCATGTCCATGGCTCGGAGAATGAGCCTGAGGGGTACTACAGCAACGGAAACCAGCCACCGAATCTGGGCCTTGGGCATCTGGGGTTTTCCGTCCCGGATGTGCCACTCGCACTTGAGCGCCTGAAGGCTCATGGCGTGGAAGTCATCAAGGACTTGGGAAGCGCAACTCGAGAAGATGTCCCGTTGAGTTCATGGGAAGCTGGACGTGGCATCGGGCTGGGAGATCTCACCTCAGCCTATAAGAACGTCTTCGAGCAGATTGCATTTGTCAAGGACCCGGTAAGCCCCCATTGTTCGCATTTTGAGGATACAAGTTCGCCATATACAAAGCACATTAGATACAGCTGCTAACGATCAACTGTACTGCTAGGATGGGTATATCGTGGAGCTTGTCCCTCAAAATCTTCAAGGGCTATGAATTTGCCCCAGGTTAATAGCCTTCAAGTTGATGTCTCTTCGCAGGGGCTTATTTAACGCGACCAGTCCAAGAGGACGTCATGTTTGAGTAGTAAAACTACATACCCTAACCAACATAATTAGCCCAGGGCAAAGATTGAACGAAATTCCTTCCGTTGGCAGGCACTTTACGCGAAGAAGGCAAGGCAGCAATGCTGTGAATTGATAACATAAATGAGCTTTACATTCTGCCTCGCCTCTTGTTTCGTCCCATTGGTGTCTTTATCAGTGACCGGTGATGAAAGGCGCATCCCTGAGAGCGTCTGCCTGGATGGACCAAGCGCGTTTCCCCAATCGCACAAGATCCTCTCCAAAATCTCGTAATATTCCTTCCGGCGACGGCTCCTCTTCATCCAACTCCTGTAACATTGCGCATGTACCGTGTACATCAAACGTAGCAGCTCGCCAAATCTGCTTCCATCTCTCCACTGCAAGAACGGCCTCTGGGTTCTGGCTCTGCACGCCTGTAGCGACCATGTAGAACGACGAGCGCTTCGTATGTCCCTTTATCGGTTTGAACAGAAACACCTTCTTACAAAACTTGCTGAATCGGTACAGTTGAAGTACCGTTGTCCAAGCTTCCACCTTGTGAAATAGAACGATCATTGTGCCGCCAGGATTTAGCCGCTCAAGGCCCAACGCGAGCTGGCTTGTCGTCAGCCGGCGCGGCTCGGTCTTTTTCCTGTATTCGACCACTTCGTGATCGCGGATAACCGAGCTGCTACAAATGACAAGGTCAAACTTCTGACCAGGCTCGAACTGACGTGGCAAGAACTTGTCGGCATCTGGATGTTCTGTCGGGATGTTTTCGAACCCGAGGTCTGCCGCTAGCATCGTCACGTCAAGGTATCTTACGTCGATGTCTTCGCTTTTCGGGACAAGACTTTGGTAACCGCCATCAGCAATGGGCAGACTGAAACCGACAGCTTTGGCACCAGAATTCTTGTTCAGCTTCATTGCGGTCGCGAGAAACCCGCCCGTCGCCATGCCCAAGTCAAGTATGCGTGGGAAGTCCGAGGCTGGAGACTTGATCTTCAGAGCGCCTGTGGTGTGCTGCATCTCGGTGCCAATCCGCTTCATCATGTCGTAGAAGGATAATTTGGTACTCGTTTTGGGATTGGTGGCTCTGGCACGCTGTTGTTGAAAGAAGCGATCGCCGGCCGGATTTTCCCATCCCTGTTGACGCCAATGGTCAGTACCAGTCATAGAGAACGAGACATGGAGCGCCACCGTGATTCACCCAGCCGACGTACAATTTTGCGGAGTTCGCTTACTTCAGCAAACTCTGGCGAGTGCTGGGTCAAGTACTGCACGATGACAGCACCAGGAGTGCCATGTTCCACATCGTCGGAGTCGGTTGCAGCGATGCGAACGCTGTGCATTTCTTCTGTTGACATCTCGACTTTGGTTGTGTAACCAGCAGTGGTACTCATCGAAAAAAGGTCGACATTTGACATGTCAGGATAAACACCGGAGTTTCTCAAGAATTGAGGAGAGTCTGAAGTCTAAACCTTGGTCTCCCGACAGTCACAGGAGAAATCGTGATGAAAGGGGTCATATGTCAAATGATCTGCGAGCTGCTTTGGGCCTGCATGCATGAAGCCAATCAGTCGCCCCAAAGACACCCAAAGTTCAGTCGGCCTCCCGCGTCTACTGATAGCCAATGGCATGAGAAAACGCCTTTGAGTCTGAGTATACTACAGATTAGTGAATGGTACAAAAATGAAAAAAAGGTCTGAGATTGGGTTTTGGCAGGACAATGCACCAACAAAGTCCAAATCAATGCCAAGATGGGAGTGCGATGCTGAAAATGTCCAGTAGCGCAAAAGCGACTACGTAATGGGATATTCCTTCACATGTAAATACTGCAGAAAGATAAAACAACGAAGAACTAGCAACAAGCACGAAAAGGACATTGTCATCCTTTGATGAACGTAGCCCTCTCCAGCGCCTCAGCCTGAGTTTTCCAAACATTTCTGCCTAGCCTGATGAGCTGATCCCCAAACTCATCAATCACGTCTTTCGCACTCGGCTCCTCCTCTCGCCAGCTGTGCTTCATCTCCCCATTCAAATCAAATGTGGAAACCCTCCAGACCTCTTTCCACACCTTGACGGCCACAGCAGCCGCCGCGCTCTGACTCTGGACTTTGCTCGCAATCATGTAGAATGATGAGCGCTTTGCGTGGCTCCTCGAAGGCTTGAAAAGCCGGACGGTTGAGAATTTGCTGAAGTCCCGCAACAGAAGTACGGTATCCCATGCTTCGACCTTGTGCAGCAAAACAACCATTGTGCCGCCCGGCTGAAGGTGCTCTAGCCCAATGGCAAGTTGGGTGACCGTCAATCGCCGCGCTTCGCATTTCTCTCGGTACTGCGCCCTGAACTCCCCGTGCTGGCGAAGAACCTGCCCGTCACAGAGGATGAGATGGAACTTGTCTTGTGGGCCCAGCTGCTGCGAGATGAAGTTGCCAGAGTCAGGGTGATCTGATGGAATGTCTGTAACCCCCATATCCTGCGCCAACATCGTGATGTCCATGAACTTGACGTCCACGTTTCTGCTGGGTGGGAGCAAAGGCTTGTGCCCGCCCTGCGAGACGGGGAGACTAAAACCAAGAGCGTGTGCATCTGGATTCTTCTCGAGAGCCACCGCGAGGAACCCTCCAGGCGCCATGCACATATCCAAGATGCGCTTCTGTCCCAGTGCTGGCCCCTTGATCTTCAACGCCTGGGTCTTTCGGTGCAGCTCAGTCCCTATGCCTTTCATCATGTTGTAAAAGACCGCTGACAACTTTTCGTCGGCATGGTCTGCAGCCTCCCGTTGCTTGCGGAAGTATGTGTCGCCGGCTGGGTTTTCCCATCCCTAACAGCACGTTGTCAGCAGATGCGGAGCCAGAAAATGAAGGAAAATAGGCAGGCGATACCTTTTTTCGAACTGCGCTGAGCCTGGCGAACTCCGGCACGTTCGTACGTAGGAACTCAAGGATGATATCGCCTGAGCGCTCAAATGTCTCTGTCTCGGCGTTTTGAGCGTCGGAGTTGAGGCTCAGAGTATTTACATTCTCGCAAAGCTGAGAAACAGGTACGTTGTCTCCTTCCATATCTATCAGGAGGCTAGATATTTGGCTGATGTCGCTTTGTATGACGGGCAGGTTCCGAATTCGATAGAGGTAAGGTTTTTCTGAGGACGAAATACTCAAACGACGAACAAAACCATCATATATAGTTTTTGGATTGACTTCATCAAACGATTGTTTGAATTTGGGTGGCTGTTCGGATGCTTTGATACACTTTCCTTTTCATAGGCCGTTTTGACGACCCTACCAACCAACGTTACCCGGCGGCCTCCAGCATATGCTGGAGGCCGCGATGGAACCAACACCTGTACTTCTCATTGAATCATGATTGTGAGATGCCACAAAGTGGCCAAGTGAACATCGAGTCGATTGTTTTCTGGGGATCTTTGATGCTAGACACGCTGGTCCAGTCTTGCTTTCATTCGATGCCTATGCGGACAAAGGTAACCATCTTCAGCCTCAGTGTTCTCCGACTGAGGTTCGCCAACGTTCTGGAATTCAAACCCAGCTGTGCTGGTGCCTGCTGGTGTTTTGTCTCATCCAGTGTGTGACCAAATCCCCGACCGCTGAACTCAGCCCCGAACACTGGGCCCCGAAAATCCCCGGCTACCGCCCGGACATAAGCCGTCTTCAGACCACCAAGTGGGGAACCACCTGACCCGGGACCGCGAAGGATTCGGGCGTCCCACATACGGAGTGTAGACACAGCCACCGATCCGAATCACCAACCATTTAAAACAACCAGGCCCCATCAGCGTACCGCAGGCTGACTTTTAATTCTTCCATTTCCACTCCAACCTCCAACAGTCACTGAACCAATCATGGCCTCTCGCATTCTCCACCCCGGCGCTTCCCCTCTTCTCCTCGCCCCGCTCCTCTCCTCGACCTGCACCCTTCTCTACGCCCACGACCAACACTTCTTCTTATCCTTGTTCAATCATCCCACAGTCCGCAACCACTCAAAGCCTCTGATAAATCCCTACTACAAAGAGTTCTTCTCCCGCGGGCTCCCGATTGTGCTCAGCTTTCTCGCTGTCTCCGCCGGCACGGCTCTCGCCAACTTGAGGTTAAACCAGACCTTGCTTCAAACCAAGGGCACCGTTTGGTGGTACGCCGCGGGCGCGGGTTTGTCACTGGGACACTTGGCTTATGTTCCGGTCATCGCGCCGCATGTGCAAACGCTCGTGGATGGAAAAGAGGGGGAGGATCTGAATGAGGCGCTGGATAAGTGGTTGGTCGTAAACTGGAGACGGATGATCACAGTGGATCTGGGGGCTTGGGTTGCGTTTGGGGTCGCTATCATTGGGACACTGTGCGTTTGAATGTTGTGAACTAGCTTGAAATCGCGCATAAAGATTGAGTAACGAGTGCTACTTTGCCCAAGAGACGCAATATGACGTGGTCCTCGGCGGCTAGCTAAGCACGCCTGCCCACGGTACCGCCCTCTCCCGCTTGCGATCCATGCCGCAGCGCGCCAGCTAACACAACATCTGATTGGTGGGGCTCTCCATAACTTCTGCGATATTCCTAGAGATTTGTGGTAAGGCAGACTTTCGGAATCTCTAGCTGTCTTTTTTGTTGCGGCGGTAATGACAGCTGCTGCACATCGGTCATGCGGAGGCAATGATTTCGTGTGCAACGTTGGGCGGAAATCACCTCGCATAAATCACCTCGCATAATTTAGCACGTATTAGCAGGGCTTTTCCCCGCTAGATTCCAGATGGCCGTGGAATCACACAGCACGCCCTTTCAAGTCAATGCTTTCCCTGGAAAACTGCCCACTATCACAGTCCAAATACTCGGACCAGCCATCTTTCACCCTCCGATCCACCCAATTCTTGCAAGCTTCTTTTCTTTCACCATCAATACCCAAAATCATCTCGATATGAATGCAAGAGATCGTGAGGGTAATTATTTTCAGATAACGTGGCCTACAAGTCTACCCGAATGTCGAGGTATCTGTCGCCGTACTGATAGCGAGTATGGTGCCCGTGGCAGCAGTTCCTTGGATGGGATCGAAGAAGACGCCAAAGCCGGTTGCCCAAGATGCATGATCATATACCGCAGCTGTTGTGTATTCAAGGCACCCGGAGCTTTCGAAGTTAAAGTCACTTGTGACGCCAAACAGCCTGGTATTTTCAACGTTGAGTTAGGTGTTCACATGGGAGCTCGATCTAAACGTCGAAAGAAAGTCCAGCTGTACGTCGTGGCAGGGTCGCCAAAACCCCCATGGGAATTTATTAGACCAGCGCGGACCCCCACAATCGCAAGACGTGAAGAATTTGGGCAGATACTCACCCCTTGGATCACGCACTGCAATAAGACACATGAAGGCTGTGTTACTATGGGTTCAAAGCTTCCGAGTCGTGTGCTTTTTGTAGGCAGCAAGATTGAACCTCACTTGTATCTTCATGTCTCCTCCGAACAGGAGACCGGTGCATACTTGGCCCTTAGCTATTGCTGGGGAGAGCCACACCCGCCGAAGACCATCACATCAAATCTCCCGAAGCATGAGAAGGCCATCGATTTCAGCAAGCTACCCAGAACCTTTCAAGACGCCATAGTTGTAGCCCGAGCCATCGACATCCGATACTTGTGGATCGATTCTTTGTGTATCCTGCAAGATCGCCCTTCGGACTGGCAAGCAGAGTCTTCAAAAATGGCCGGTTATTACAGAGATGCCTTTCTGGTGATTGCCGCCTCTCACGCTAGCAATACCGTCGAGGGATTCCTTGATACTGTGGAGGGCCGTTTGCCGATGATCTCGCCCGGTATCAGCGCTGAGATTGGGCAGATTAAGAACCCAGATGGCAGCATTTCGCACATTTTCAAGAGAAAGTTAGCGCCGGTTTTGTGGACAGGCCGTCACGAGTATCCTTTGACCTGCTCAAATCTCAATAGGCGAGCATGGGCTCTACAAGAAAATATGTTGGCCAGACGAATTGTCCATTTCGTTGATGCAGAGATGCTCTGGGAATGTGTCGAAGACTTGAAATGCGAATGCATGGAGGTAGACCATACCGCCGCCTTTGTACCGATCTCATCATCGGGCATTATAAGGAAATCTCAGTTTATTCCCCTTTACATCCGCCACCGCCGGGGTCAAGAAAATGTCAACGCGCATAAACTCTGGCTGGAGTTGCTGCGAGAATATTCGACAAGGGCTCTAACATACGATTTTGACTTACTACCAGCGCTATCGGGGCCAGCAAAGCTGTGGAAGTCTCGAGGAGCTGGCAAGTACCTTGCTGGATTCTGGGAGGATTACATTCTTGAGTCTATGACCTGGAGAACGGTCGAGTTCAACAAGGTCCAGCGCTCGCAGGGATATCGAGCGCCTTCTTGGTCTCCATTCTCATTAGATGGTGAATACCTCGAATCTCGGCGAATTTGGGGAGGCCACGATCACGAACCACACATAAGGCATGTCTCTTTCGAATTCCCAGACAATGAAAGCCAGCGATTGGTTGAGAAACATGCCGTCGTAGCAGACGCAGGAGTTACTCTGAAGGGCATAGATCCGACGGGCCAAATCACTCACGGCTTCCTTCAACTCCGAGGTTGTGTAAGCCAAGGTCATATGACTCGAAATACTGCGGGTCGGGTCGTTGAAGTTGGGGGACGAACCTTCCCGGCGGAATGGGATCTTGAAATGGGCTTCGACGAAGGACTTTCGTTCACTCTAATCCTAATCGGATCCAACATTTCGCGTGGCTTAATAGCACTTATTCTCAAGCCCTCACAGCAGGAAGGTTTCTACGAGAGAGTTGGGTACATTTATGACCACAGCAAAGATGGCACCGAGTTCTTCGTACAGCTTTCAGGGGGAGAAGAGACACTCGTCACTATCGTATGAAGCTTTCCCCGAGCCCAATCAGACTTCGCGAATTGGGAGGCACGCGACAGAACCATACCGCCCTAGAGTTTGATAAATGCTAGAATTCCAAATGCTACGCCGCCAAGAGTTTTGTCTGTAGGCTCAAAGACAAAGCAAGATTCGTTCTGTCAACATGAACACCCCCAATAGAATACGGCATGGTTGTCTCCGATCGCCTAAACGTTAGACTGTGTAGTGTGACTGCGCAAATACCTGGAAATCGTCAATGTTTGGCGCCTCGCGCCGACCGATGTGCTAGACTGGGCTTGAAAGCCGACATGGCTATTTCCACTAGCGACAATTGTAGGTGGGTAATGTAAGTCACCGCTAGCAGTTGAGAAGAATAATGAATAATAAGAGAAGAATTCCCGATGAGGAATCACCAAAGTCTGACCCAACAGGACGCGAATCATTAAGCGTAGCTGCGCTACTCTGAGCAGGTGTGGGAACACAACTCGATGACGGCAACGTCATTGAGTGGATAGATGAAAGTGAGGGCTTGGCAGGGCTGTCGAAGACCCCATCCAAGTGGTTCAGTCCCAAACTATATTTTTGGTGACTAGTATCTGATCTAGACTCCTTGACGTATGTTCATATTGTTTTGCGATTTCAGTATCTGACCAGACCTAATATTAGTATCAACACCTTAGAGCTAGGGCTGCGGCAGCAATAGTGGTGACGTACATTCCTGAAGTTTCTGTCGAAAGTTATTCGCCAAATCCTGTTGAGCTCAGTACTCGTCTCCTTCCAAATAGCTTGTAAGTTTGCCCGCTCTAGTTTGCTTTCCGAACCCGTGCCCATTCGTCTTAAGGCCGGCCTAGTTGAGGTCTTGGCTGAAACTTCAGACACCTCGGACCGTATGATGGAGACTCCAAAGTGAGAACACAATCCATTCAAGGACAAAATTCGCAGGGCGGCAACAGCTCTCTACAAACAGCCGCTGTACCAACCAACTTCAGCTCAAGACGGCCACCGCTACCCCCGGAGACTCGCCCACCGAAAACAAAGTTAAACCTGTCTTTCGAGAAGCTCAAGCGGCCCGCTTCAGCCGCCTGTTCGACGCGGAGGACCAGGGCCGCCCGATCTGCTCCGATTCGAAGAAGGACAGCTTCCTACCGCGAGTTTTCGTGGACCATATCTTTGCTCG